AGAAGACAGAAACCACAGCAGAGGGAGTTGGCAAGCACTACTTTCTCCCTGAGAGCTGGCTTGCAGCACGGGAGGGGTAGTTGGAAATTGTAGAGGCATGGTCACTGTTGGTGACCTCAGAGGCCTCCGCAGAGAAACACACCAGTGGAATAGAATAGTAGACACTCTGAAGAGCAGTGGCTGGTGACTTATTCAGGTTAGATGCCCCTCACCTCTGAGAGGGTGATTGGCTGGTAGCCACTTTGGAGAGGGGCAAACTGAAGTGAGAAGTCAGACCTAGGGGTCAGTGCTCAAGGTAACAGCCAGACCTTCCTGCAAAAGAACCACAGTCATTCTCAGCATCAGTGAAGACACATGTTCCTTCAATGATGAGAACAGCTGACTTCGTATGAAGAAAATCAATGCAGCAAGCTTCTCGAGGAGAATCAACACCACACCATCTTCCCCTGTAGTTCTCCTTTTATGTTGCTGGCAACAATCCTCAGTTGGGCCTTTCACACCCAGAATGATGGCGATTGGGTTCAGCTGGTTGCTATAAGTTGCTCATTAGGTAACCTATCACAGGTGGGCAGAATTAGGTGCACCAAAGGAGAAAGATGAGGTTTTGAGGCTAAGCTTCCTGATTATGTCTATAACAGTGAACAGTTAAAGACTTTCTCCATGTTTATGCTAATATATTCCATGGTAGCTCTTCACTGGTGGGCCAGGTAGGAAAGGTGGTTTAATTTTACCTAGAAAACTCCACTACAGAATGAAATTTTAAAAGAAAATTTCTTCAAGGCCTGAGGTCTTTCTGTGAAATGAGCAGTTTTGAACTTTTAAGATAACTAATTACTAAAAATTCTTTCGCATTTTCTTTTTCCAAGCTCATAGTACTTAATAACTTACTTCATAGGAAAAAGCCTCATAATAGGAAAAAAGAGAAAAATCTTCCAAAAGGAGGAAATTGATGGGTTAGGGGTCCCAGTTGCTGGACCCATGAAGTATGAGTAAGTGGAGGCAGAGAATATTCCAGGTCAAGGGAGCTGTATCATTTTTGGGTTCACTAGAGGAGAAGGCATATAAGGATTTACAAGGGAGGCTGTCAGTGAATCATGCAGAGTACAGTGTGGAAGAGCTCAGCAGGACCCTGTGTGCTGGAGAGCAGGCAGATTCAAAAGCCGAAGGCTTGAGGCTTCCTGTAGAGTCCCATGTCAGTCCTTCATAGGAAGAGAAGGGTCTGGACAGGGGAGGGTTTGGGGGGAAATCTAGAGGCAGATGTCAAAAGGTAATGACAAAGCCTGCAGCTTCCTCAAGAAGCAAAAGTAAGGGTTATATGA